AAATACTCTGCTTTATATATAGATTGTTATATATGAACCTCATAGTAACCACAAAACCAAAGCCTACAATACATACACAAAAAGTAATGACAAAGAAATCCAAAGATAACAGTAAAGAAAATCATCAAACCCAAAGTGAAGAGACTAAAAGAAAAAGAAATGAACAGAGAAGAACCACAAAAATAACCAGAAAAAGATTAACAAAATGCAATAAGTATGTCCCTATCAATAATCACTTTAAATGAAATGGATTAATGCTCCAATCAAAAGACATAGGGTGACTTAATGCATAAAAAAAAAGATAAAAAGAAAAACAAAAAACAAGATCTATCTATATGCTTTCCACAAGAGACGCACTTCATATCTAAAGACACATGCATGCTGACTGCAAAGGGATGCAAAAAAAGATATTTCATGCAAATGGAAGCAAAAAGAAAGCTGGGGTATTAATATTTATATCAGATAAAATAGACTTTAAAACAAAGATTGTAACAAAACACAAAGAAGGGTGTCACATAATGATAAAGGGGTCAATCCAACAAGAGGATATAACATACTTATGTATCCAACATAGGAGCATCTAAATATATAAAGTAAGTATCAACAGAAATAAAGGGAGAAAAAGACAGCATTGCAATAAGAGCATTGAGATATTATAATTGCATTAAGTAAAGCCATATTATGCAATTGTTTTATTTAATAACAACAGGACTAATTATTTTTCCCATTAAATTTATACTTAGATGTTCCATTCCAATTTGTCCAGATCCTTCTGGAGTCTACATACCATTCACGTTATTAACAAACTCTCTTATCTTTCTCTTATTGAAAGACTTGACAAAGTAAAGCAGCAGGTTGAGGCTTTGAACTCAGATATCTGAAATAAAATTAAATATTAATATCTTAATAATTATGTAACCTGAGCTTTTGTGATTCAACTTCTTTATCTGTACAATGGGGAAAGATCTGCTTGAGTGTTTAAGTTTTTTGCCTTAGCACTCTCATTTGCATTACAGTAGTCCAGGTCCTAATTTTCTTTAATTGCAACCTAACCCAGTTTAGATCAATGAAAATCAGGTGTGAAACTTTCTCTTGAACAATTTGAAGTGAACCTATGGAGTACCTAAATCAGTAGGACATAAGCCAAGAGATAAGGACCCTATATCTGCCAAAACAAATAGTAGGCCTGAGAATTAAGCCAGCACAGCAGGAATAGAGTGTGAATAAGAAGGACTCCCTAGAAATATGTTTTAAGCCCCTAGATACAGGTGTATAAAGTGATTTTAATGTCTTATTTATTTATTGTTCTAGATAACATTGGCCAATAAATTCTGTTATCTTAGCCAATTAAATTTCCTCCACTGGCAACCAAGATTTTACTTTGTGATTCATTCCACCCACTAAACTATCAGAAGTTATCATTTTCTATTCATCTCATAGAAAACTGCTTTCTCTTTATAAATATTATTTGTTTGGGAAATTTATTTTAGATTTTGAAAAATATATATGTATACATACAGATACAGTTGAAATCGAATAATAAACATGCTCCTATGGAAACCTCATGGAGATTAAGAATTGGAACCTCACCAATTCCTTCGCAGAATCCTCTCTACTGTATCTGTCTTATTCCTCTTCTCAAATAAACATTATTTATAATTTAGTAATAGGTTTTTATCACTAAACAATACATTATTTATTTTTATTGAATAATTTATAGATAAACTTTCTAGAGTTTTTGAGTTAAAATTTATATATAATAAAATTCACCCATGTGGGCTTACCTGGTGGTGCATTGGTTGAGAGTCCGCCTGCCGATGCAGGGGACACAGGTTAGTGCTCCAGTCCGGGAGGATCCCACATGCTGCAGAGTGGCTGGGCCCATGAGCCATGGCCACTGAGCCTGCACGTCCGGAGCCTGTGCTCTGCGACGGGAGAGGCCATAACAGTGAGAGGCCCGCGTGCTGCAAAAAAAAAAAAAAAAAAAAATTCACCCATGTTAAAGTATGGTTCTGAGTTTAGATAAATAAATCAAGTTACATCACAGTGATCACAATCAAGATTTAGAATAATTCTACCACCCCCAACATGTTTCCTCAAACTCCTCTAGAGTACACTCCTCTCCATACACTCAGCCCATTGCAAACACAGAATATTCACCATCACTGTAGTTTAACACTTTACAGACTTTTACATAAATAGAATTATATCATATTAAACTTTGAGTCTGGTTTATTTCTTATCGCATAAAATGTGTGATATCCATAGTCACTACTGTAGTTTTATAATGAGTCTTGGAATTAGGTAATGTGAGTTTTTCAACAACCTTCTAATTGTTCTTTGCCAAAATTGTATTGTAATTATATTAACTTTGCAATTTCATATAAATTTTACAATGATGTGGTCTATTTCCATTAATTAAAATATTCTGGCACTTTGAGCTTGCTTTAAATGAACAGATATATTTGGGAGAATTGATTTCTTAACAGTATTGAATTATCCAAGTCATAAACCTGATCTACCTCTCCATTTATTTATATCTTCTTTGATTATGTTCAACAGTATTTTGTAGTTATTAGAATGCTGACCTTGCACATATTTTGCCAAACTTATGATTAAGTATTTTTGGGTATTTGGTTCTAATGATAATGGTTCTATTAACAATAATTGTTCTATTATGGTTATTAATCTATTAATTTCTTTTTATTGCAAATATACAGAAATAAAATTAAATCTCATATTTAATTGTATATTGAAATTGTGTTCTACAGTATTGCAGTACTCCTTGGTAGTTCCAATATATATATTTTTAGATATTTTGGGGGATTTACTTTGAAGACAATTATATCATCTTCAAATAGATACACTTTTTTCTTCTTTTCCAATCTATATGTTTTCATTTTGCTTTCTTGCCTTATTGCTCTGGTTAAGACTTCTAGTGTGACAATGAATAGGTGTGGTAACAACAAACATATTTGCCTTCTTATATACTGGGGTAAAACATTCAACATTTTACCCATATGCAAAATGTAAAATGCAGAGTTTTTTTTTTTCCTGTTGATGTTTTACCTCATGTTGAAGATGTTCCCTTTTATTCCTATTTTGCCAAGAGTCTTACCATGAATGTGCCTTGAATTTGTCAAATGTTTATTTGCAGCTATTGCAGTAATATATATTTTTTCTTGTTCAGACAATTGATATGGCAAATTGCCTTAACTATTTTCAAATGTGAAACCAACCTTACATTCCTGGAATAAACTCCACTTAGCCATGACTTAGTTGGCTCTCCATATCTGTGGATTCCACAACCACTGATTCAACCAAGCTTGGATTGATACTATTCAAAAAAATCCCAGAAGTTCCAAAGAGCAAAACTTGAATTTGTTGAATGCCAGCAACTATTTACATAGCATTTTCACTGTATTTAAAACTATTTACATAGCATTTTCATTGTATTAGGTACTATAAATAATCTAGAGTGATCGATACAGGGAACATATTGGTGATTGCCAGAGGTGGGGAGTGAATGGTTGAATGAAATGGGTAAAGGGGGTCAAAAGGTATAAAATTCCTCACACACACTACTATATATAAAGTAGACAACCAACAAGGATCTACTGTATATCACAGGGAACTATACTCAATATTTTATAATAACTTATAAAGGAAAAGAATCTGAAAAATTGAATCACTGTGCTATACACCTGAAACTAACATGACATTGCAATTCAACTATACTTCAATAAAATAAAATTTTAAAAAAGGTATAAACTTCCAGTTGTAAGTCATGGGGGTGCAATGCATAGAAAGGTGGCTATCATTAATAATACTATATTATTGCAAGTATTATTATTCAAGTATTGCATATTTGAAAGTTGCTAAGAAAGTAGATCTTAAAAGTTTTCATCATGAGTGAAAATATGTAACCATGTGAGGTGACAGATGTTAGATATTGTAGTAATCATTTTGCAACTTATACAAATATCAAATCATTATGTTGTACATCTGAAACTGGTAAGTTATATGTTAATTATATCTCAATTAAAAATTTTGAAAAAACAAAATGGTAACTATGTGAAGTGATGGATATAATTTGCTTGATTGTGGTGATTATTTCACAAGGTATACATATATCAAAACATCAAGTTGTACAACTTACATATAATTTTTGTCAATTAAACCTCAATAAGGCTGGAAAAAAGAAAACTGCTTCAGTATTTATACGGTAATGAAATGGAACAAAATAACCAAGAGAATGTTGAATATGATCACACATTATCTGTGTATTTTGGTTTAAGAAATGATGTATTAATACAAAAGAGTGAACATAATAGAGAAAACAGACTGACACATAAGCATTCACCTAATTATAATAAATATGAAACTTTTGCTGCAAGGTAAGGGTACACTTTTCAGGAATGGGTGCTTGTCCATATAGAAACATGATCTTGATATTGAGCATCCATACCTCACTTCATATTGATCTTGAGCATCCATACCTCACTTCATATTGATCTTGAGCATCCATACCTCACTTCATACAGCATGAAAATTCCAGATGTGTAGTAGGTCTAAATATAATAGGTAAAAATTATTCTGAATATAAAATAAAAATTATGAAGCTTTTAGAGAATTATCTTAATAAACTTAGACTAGGAGATGGTTCCTTAAGTAGGACAATCATAAAAGAAACTATAAAATTACACATTAGAGAAAACCAAATTACTTTATCAAACTACATCAAAATTAAGAACTTCTCTTTAATTAAGAACACCATTAAGGCTATGAAAAGCCAAGAGTGGAGAAGATATCTGCAAAATATATCTGAAATAGATAACCACTATTTCACGAGAATAGTGAATTTTCTTTTTTTTTTTTCTCGATCAGACCCTTTATTTCTGGACTGTCACCAAGGCCAATTTGGGTCACAGGCACGGCACGGAGTACCGGGGAAAGTGGGCCAGTAGGGCCCAGCGGGGCTGCCTGCAGCTGCTGCCTCCTTATGGGGAGCTGAGCCGGCCGCAGAAGAGAAGCCCGCTGGTCTTGCTGTGCTGGATAAAGATGAAGAAAAGGTTGGGCTTCCCTGGTGGCGCGGTGGTTGAGAGTCTGCCTGCCAAGGCAGGGACATGGGTTTGTGCCCCGGTCCGGGAAGATCCCACATGCCGCGGAGCGGCTGGGCCCGTGAGCCATGGCTGCTGAGCCTGTACGTCCGGAACCTGTTCTCTGCAATGGGAGAGGCCACAACAGTGAGAGGCCCACATACCGCAAAAAAAAAAAAAAAAAAAGAGGAGGAAAGGGTGTTCGGCTCGGAACCTGGGGGTGATTCTGGTGCAGCGCAACATCAGGACTGCGGCGGTGGCCGTGGCCGCCTCTGTGCCCTCCTCGTCGACCTCCACAAAGGTCTTGTGGATGACCTGGGACAGGCGCAGGTCCCTCTGGGCCGACATGGCTGAGAAATCCGCCCTGGTGTCCTCGAAGGCGTCGGTCACACCCAGGGTGCGGAGGACACCCTCCATGCCGTAGCTCTTCCCCAGCTTAAACCTGGGCAGGGACACCTCCACCTCCTCCTCCATCAGGTCCGGTCTCGTCCACTCGATGAATTTCTCATAAGCAAGGTCCTTTGCCACTGTTTTCAAATCGGTGTTTTCATTGGAAAGCATGATGATCATATTGAGCTCCCTGCCGATGTAGGGAAGCACCAGAATCTTCGTGAATATCTCTCCGATGTAGGTCATTTTAAAGGTGGATTTCCTGAAGATCATTTGCACAGCCTTCTCCACATTCTTGCTGACTTTGAACAGACTTTGCTTGGTGTGCTGTTTGTTAAACTGATTCTTCCAGTTTCCTTTGAAGTAGATGGCATTCACGAGAAACAGACAGGTCATGGGGTCCACTGAATTTGGAGACAGCAGATCTGTAATTTTCCCTTCTGTCCTTTGGGCTACCCAGGTGCTTATGTGTTTCCTGGATTCCTCCGCAGCACTGATAAAGTCCAGCTCTTCCGTCTCTGCTTGGTAGAATTTGCGGCAGGAATCTTTGAAAGATGGGAGGAAACCATAAGTCTTCTCTGCAAAGAGCCTGTTGACGGTTCGGAGCAAGTACTGTGTGCTGGTCCTGTTAACTTCGGTGAGAAGGTTCTGGAAACCCTGGTGGACGTCTCCACCTCCGCTGCTGCTTTTGCTTAGAGAAAGTGCCTGGGACATCTGGGCCACAGTGTTTCCCTTTGCCCCCATGAAGACCATGGCCAGGGCAGAGGGGATGCTTATGGGTGAGAAAAACATATTTTTCGAGTTGTCTTCACCCAGAAGACATGAACCAAAGACTTAAATAAGTAATTCATACACACACACAAAGTTGGCATATGATGAATTTTCATTTTCCTACATTTATATATTTTTTCTAACAAGTGTTTTCTACTATTACAATCTTATTTGACCTAAAATATAATTATTTCCACTGTGTATAGTATAATTATTTATACTAAAACATAATTATTTTTTCTTGGCTCCTTCTTTTCCCAGTTTAATATTAGGTCTATGCTATCTTCTTCAAGTGAAGTGTGGAGATTTCCTCAATCTGTGCTTTAGAATAGAATGCGTAGTATTAAATTTTTGTTAACACTTGCTACATAAAGCTACCTAGGTTTGAATTTTTTTTAGAAAAATTTGCCTCTTTACTCAGTCTTTATTATGAAACAATTAAGATTTTCTATTTTTTCCTTGCACCAAGTTCAACTTTTTTCACCTGAGTTGTCCCTAAATTTTTCTCACTATTCTTTATCTTCTTTAGCTTATGTAATTAGTAATTCTTTCTCATTTTGGTGTGTTTATGAGTGTGGGAACATACCTTCTCTTCCCTTCCCTCTTTCTGTCCTCAGTCTTGCCAGAGATTTGTCAATGCATTAGTCTTTCAAAAGTCCAACTTTAATTTTATTGATCTATTCCTCTTCATTTTATGTTGATGTTTTATTTAATTAAATTGGACTCATTTTATTTCTCTTTGAGTTTAAAAAAATTATTTTAGGCCAAATTGCCTCATTAATTTTCATCATTTTTTTCTTTTAAGATATATGCATTTAAGGCTTTGCATATCCTTCTTAGCATCACTTTAGTTCTATCCCAAAGGTTTGGATGTGTTATAAATGTTTTCTAATTTCCACTATAATATATATATATATATGTATATATATTTCTACCCAAAGGTCATTTAAGTGGAAGACATTAATTTTCAAAAACATGGGGATTTTTATGTTAAATCCTTTCATTTCTAGCTTAGTGCATTGCAATCAGAATGCATATAGGGGTCATATATGCTTGAAGTCCTTGTACACAATCAATTTTATAAATGTTCTTGTGCTTGGAAAGATTAAATTCTCCAGTTTCTGAGCTCAGTCTTCTCTATATAGATATCAGGTTAAGTTTTAAAATTTGTTAAATCTTCTATGACTCTTATTTAACATTAGCCAATTTTTTCTATTAATTACCAAAAAAGTGTCAAGTAAAATATCTAGTACTCTGTCTTTTGCTTTCTCTGTCTTGAGGGTAAATTATCATGTGAATGGTCTTTCAGAACACTTATGTAGTCATGGTTATTGGATTTTTATCATTGGAGTGACTAAAATTTTTGGCTACTAATTATTTGTGCCTTAACTTCTCTGTTTTTCTGTTATTAATATAGCTATACCAGCTCCTTTGGTTTGAATTTGTGTAGTAATTCCTTTTCATCTTTTACAATCAACTATTTTGATAATTTATGATATAGTTGTGTCTCTTGTAAACAGAAGAGGTTGGATCATATATCTAAAGCATGATGACAATTTTTACCCCTGAGGAATCTAATCGATTTTGGTAACAAAAATTAATGCTATATATGGACCTGTTTTTCACTTTACATTCTATCTATTTTATGTTTTTTCTTTTCTCTTAGACTTTAGCTTCCATTTGAACTTATTATTTGTTCTTTCTGTTTTTATTCCTCTACTAGTTTGGAAGTTACACTTTCTGTTTCTACCCTATATTGCGTTTTTTAAACATTATAAATTGCACACTTGATATGTCAGTCTAAATTTAATCAATATATTTTAAGTTTTCCCCCACAATGCTAATATTTTAGAACACTTTAATTTCATTCTTATATATCAAAAATTACATACAAATATGTACGCATGTTAATTTATTTAATGACTATTATTGTTTTATGCAATCAACATACATTTAGTATTATATATATATATATATATATATATATATATATATACTACAACACATTTTACGTTATCATTTTCTTTCTTGGTACTCAAATCCTCCTTCAGCACAACATTTAAATTTTTCTTTAGAGAGTATCTGTAGGTGACATGCATGTCAATTTTTGTTAGAAAATGTCTTTATATCACTTTCATTTTGAAAGATGCCTTCACTGGTTATAATGATTTAGGCTGACAGTTATTCTCTCTCAGCACATTGACTTTGTCATATTTCTGTCTTCTGGCATCCATTGTGACAGAAGTCATCTGTCAAGCTGTTACCCCTTTCAATGTAAACCTTTAGTTCTGGCATCTTATAAAATCTATATCTCATCTTTGTTTTTTGTCATTATCACCACGATGCAAATTTCATTTCCTTTATCCTGCTTATAAATTTTGTGAATCTTCGGGTTTCTTAAATCTTTCATAAGTTCTATCACTTGTGTCTTCTCAGTTCTAGATACTCTCAGAATTATATCTTCAAATATTTTCTTTGATACACACTTCTGGAATCAGCAAAAATAATTAATTTAGGTATATGGCCCACAATACTAGTGGAAATGCAAGTCTTCTTCACCACTTTCTATGTAACACTATTGTTATTTGATCCTTTTTTTTTTTTTTTTTTTTTGCGGTACATGGGCTTCTCACTCTTGTGGTCTCTCCTGTTGCAGAGCACAGGCTCTGGACACACAGGCTCAGCAGCCATGGCTCACAGGCCTAGCCACTCCGCGGCATGTGGGATCTTCCCGGACTGGGGCACGAACCCCTGTCCCCTGCATCGGCAGGCGGACTCTCAACCACTGTGCCACCAGGGAAGCCCCCGATCATGTTTTTAAAGAAAATTATTAGAATCTATGTAGCTTGAGGAGAGAGAACACTTATTATGTATCCATGTATTCCTTGTAGTCCTGACCATGATAATAAGTTAATATTTGGTGATTATTTTTAACAATTCATTATTTTTCCTAAATAGAATTGACAATAGAAACCAATATTGAAACAGGCCAATAGCTATGTCAGTGATTTATGTGATATTGAAACAGGGCTTTGAAGAATTTTGATGCTTTTTCTCCTCTAGTATATTAAGACATTTTGTCATCGTGATAAGTATTAAGAAATGTTATTGTCTATAGACATTTTAATATAGGAACTATAAACTGTTTGAAAGTTATGCCCCTGAGCGTGGATAAATAAAGTGAGACAGCCACTTGAGATTACTATTTCTCTTTTTAACCTATAGTATATCTTAAATATTATGGGCATTTCAAGTAAATGAAATTGTAGAACCAGAAGTGAAAGCATTCTTTAAGGTGGGAAAAATTATGGGTTTAAATGTGGTTAATTTAGAGATCTGAGAACACACTGTCCTAGGTGTAGTATTCTACCTGTTCTTTGTTAGATTTTTTTTTAAGTTTAAAAAATTAGAGACAATTAAGAAAACTTGATTCTGTTCCTAATCCTTTCTTGGATTATTTGACATTGAGGAAGTGGTTTAACTCTTCACAACTAGGTATGCTCATCTCAAAAAGTTAGTTGATTGAAATTATCTTTGTAGCAGAACCCACAGGGAAATAGATTGTGTACTTGACAAAACCAGTAAGTCACAGGTACTTATTGAAACATTTATTAAGCTGATTAAGAATAAACTTGTAATAATTTGCATATATAAGTAACCAAAGGGGATATCTGCATTTTCACTCAATTTCCACAGATGTGCACATAGCCACAGTACCGGATAACAGTGTTACCTAACCTGCATTTGGATCCACTGGCCAGACATGCAGCAAAGCCAATCTACTGACACTGGGTTGCAGTGAAGGGAAGTGCAATATTTGTTGCAGGGCATCAAGAAAGGAGAACAGGCAGCTAGTGCTCAAAAGACCTGAACTCCTTGATGGCTTCAGGGAAGGGTTTTTAAAGGCAATATTAGGATTGTGGATTGCAGGGTACCTGATCAGCTCGTGGATATTTTTCTGATTGGTTGGTGATGAGGTAACAGGGTGATGTTTTGTAAGTCAACATCATTAACCTTTTGATCCCAGCTGGTCTGGGGTGTTCATGTTTCTGGTTAGCCATTTTCATCTGGTGGGGTTCTGGTTTCTGTAAAAACAACTTAGGAATATGTGTCAGTCCTTCTTATCTATATCATTCAGAGAATGGGGAGTTCAGTGACACTGATATGTGGCTGAATTAGAGTCTAAATTGTTACCAGTCTCCTGGCCCAAAAGGTATCCTTTGTTTCTGCATTTTTACATTTCCTAATCATTAACTCTCAAGCCAGTCTTCTGAGACTCAGGAGAGGCCTGGGAGAATAAAGCAAAAATCTTTTTCTTCAAAAGATAGGTACATGGGGTCTTGCAAGACATGGGTCTTGCAGCTCACATGAAGTGAGTTTGTCCATGTAGGATTAGCAAAAGCAGACACACGACTTGCTTTCTTATAGCCTGATCTACCTAGAATTGTGTGACACAACCAGGAGGATGGTTTAACCTGGGTTCAATCTTTCAATGGAGGATTCTCAAGTAACAAAGCATGTACTTGTTTCTCCTTCTTTAACAAACTTAAATACACACATATGCACACATGCACGTACACAGAAAAGATATATAAAAATCATATTCATCTTAATTTGATAGTTAAATTGTAGTGGGAATTCTATATTACAGACATCCCTGTTATGTGAATAACTGGAGAGTAATCCAGGAAATTATGTCACCTATTGGGTACTCCCAGTGAATAAATGCATCTTCTTCCACATATTCAGTCTAGAAACAGAGGGAGCTATTGTTGACCTAAAACAAATAGGCTGCCAGATATTTCTTCAGCAGAGATGAGTTTATTGCAGATCACTGGAGAACTGCAAATTTGGGGTCTGCAACCACGGCAAGCCTTGGACAAGTTCCTGCAGGACAAGGGAAGAAAAAATATTTTATAGTGGGGAAAAGGACATTGGGAGGGCTGTAGTAAACAAAAACTCCATGGTTTTTCATTGACTGAGTACTCACTAGGAAAGAAGAGGCGTATACCTCTTGTTGGGCTCTGCTATCATTGCAG